CTGCTAGCACACAATTAAGCCAATTGCACCGAGTGGTTTGAGGGACACCACAATTTCTACAATTGGGATTCAAATAACTTGGACTTAAAAACCGTAAATACGACGGGTCATATGAAGATCCTCATGAAATGCATAAATAAACCCATAATGCACATTTGTGACGCAATAGTTCCGAAAGTATTAATACCTCGGAACTTTGAGGTATCTATTGTAGAGCGATTACTCGTGAGTGTAGCAAATCCTTACACTAAACCTGATGATAAGGTTTGGTAAACTGATGGATCCAAAATCGAAGGTGTAAAACCTGGAGCTAGCACATCTGGTAGGAAGTTAAACCAAAATCGATACCAATGGGCAGCAATCTCACTGTTTTCCAAGCTGAGATTCATGCACCCGAAACGTGTGAAAGAGAATGTCCCAGAAGAGGCACAGCTTCTAAAAACTTCTGCATTATGTCAAACATAACTTTAAAGCCTTTACATATTTACATATAGGATATACTCCCTTGTACAATAGACCATGTCAGAGATGGCTGTGTAGTACGTGGGCCACATAATATGAACAATGCCAGTTGAAACAATATTTACTAGCAATTTGTTATTTGAGTGGAAATTCCTGAAGTCTGTCTAAAAACAACCTGAAAGGAATTATGTTGCCATTTTTTCAAAATAATTTTGAGTTTAATTTTTATATTATGAACTCGTCTGCCATAGTAAATATACACGGCATAATTGATGTCTTTCTACATGGATATGACCTTTTAATCCGATATTAATAACCAAACTAAAAATATCATTTAATGAACACCAGCGAAATATGTAGTATGTATATATGTATGCCCATAATACAGCATTAGTAGTACTTCTTCAACACCGTTCAACCAAAAGTAATAATTACACATATATAGTGCATGTATATGTACATTAGGATGGTCCAAAAATGCATTATAAAAAGTAGAGTCGGAATTTTTATGCTCTCGCCACGTAGGATTGTTCTATACCGAAAAAAATGCCCAATTTTTTTTTGTTTTGAAATCAAAAAATATTTAGAGGTCACTCAAAGTTTTTCATGTATTAAAAAATTTTTCGATCGGAAAACTCTGCTTCTCTGTAGGAGATTCCCTATAATAATACCAAATATTTTACTTAACCAGTTTTTTATAGTAACTATAATTTATACATAGGTTCGCCAAAACTCCTAAAAAATTCAATAGGGGCACCAATAAAGAATCGGTTTATTAAAAAATTTTGAAATAAAAAATTGTGTTTTATTATTGGATGTTTTCTGCAGAGAACCAGAGTTTTCCGATCGAAAAATATTGATTTTGAGGAATTCCATACCATTTCTACTAAAAATTGTTTATTCCCATATAAAATACATGGAAAACTTTGAGCGGTTTGGGCGACCTCTAAATATTTTTTGAACTTAAAACAAAATAGGGGTCTATTTTTTTAGTTATAAAACAATCCTAGGTGGTGAGAGCATTAAAATTCCGACTTAACTTTTTTTTTGGACCAACCTAATGTACATGCATATAGTATACGTAACTACACGATAACCAAAAAAATATAATGGCGTATCATTTTCTCTGTCGCTTTTAATTAATTAGCCCGAGCTTTATCGATTAATAATCGGCTTTAAGCGCAAAAAGCAAGTTTCACTCTATCAAGGGATACTGCGCCGCTTAAGCGTAATGACCTTTTTGTCAAAGTGGATAAGCCGATTATTCTTGACAAAAGAAGTAGAAATGTATGAGAAAGTAAATTAGCTAAGCGGTGTTAAATGGCGTTGAAAGGCACAAAAAGTTGATAAGTCATCACAATAATGAAAACTAAGTGCTGTGAGCTTCATAACCAATTGGGGCCCAAAAATCATATGCGTAGCTGTATGTGTATTTACAATGTGTATATAATTATTCCGTGTAATAGCTGCACGTAGATTAAATAACTATGTGGACAGAGTCAGTGTTAAAAAAAAAAAACTCGGAATATTTATTTAATGCGTGTTTCGGGCACATGCAGAACGGGTCCCTGCCGCAAATCAAACTGGTTCAGAACTCACGCCGTACTAGCATGAAAAGGGAGCTGTTGAACTCGTTCTGAACTGGTTCCATTTTAGAAATACGTTTTTTATGAGAAAAAATGTTTAGGATTCGATTTTTGGATATTTTTTTCTTTTTTCTTCTCTTACAGATTAAATTTTTTACGTATTTTATATACTTTTAACCGGCTTTAAAAAAAGGGGGAGGTTATCAATTCGTCGAAAGATTTATGTATTTTACCACATAACTTGGGACAACGTTACGCGATTTCTATAATTCTTTGAAGTCGGATTTTCTTCCTTTGTGGTTAAAAGATGAAAATAAGGCGCTCCCTAATGTTATGTGTACATGGGTAAACATTTATTTATTATTCGTTACACGCGGCTACACTTAGATTCAATTAATTAATAAATATCGAATATTAAGTTTTGTGGTTTCATGACTGATTCTCGGATACGGTGTTTTGAGAACCATAATTCATATTAACTGCTAGTGTAGTGCACTGGTTTTTATGAAATATGGCTATGTAGCTTAATGCACTCATTGGCCATTTTTCATTTCAGTTATGCGTTTAGTGCATATGATAAATGCTTTTTCTTCCAATAAGGGCAACCGACTTTGCGAAAGCTCAGAGGTTTTAATTCATCCTGGCAGACCTGCACACACTAGTATATACATGTACAGATATTATTAGTTAATTTATTACCATATTTGCTCTGATATAAATGCTTATCTGCATACATGCATACCAGGGATGTTGCGAATGTGTCGAATTTTAGACATCCGCGGATGCGAATGCGGATGCGGATCTTTAAACGCTAACATCTGCGGATGCGGACGCGAATGCGGATGTCAAGTATTTTTACACCCGAGCGCACTTGTGCACAAGGGTATTATAAATTTGTTCACATAACGGTTGTTTGTAACAGGCAAATTGAATCGAGATAGATATAGACAAATATATACGAAAAATGACACTGAAGATGGCACAACGCCGAAACCGGTTTGTATCCAAACCAAATTTGACAAGGGATGACGGAAATTCGTTCCATAATACATCATACACCCACCCTGTCGGAAACAACCACAACCAAAAAGGAAACAAATATATACATAAACTAGCTTATACCCGTGGGTTTCACCCCACATTTCTATTAAAAATATCCAATGTAAATAAAACAAATTAAAGTTTTTTTAAGTGAATTTACGTATTATTTAAAACGATCGGATATANCAAATATATACATAAACTAGCTTATACCCGTGGGTTTCACCCCACATTTCTATTAAAAATA